ATCCGCCAGCCTCTGCCTCCCGAGTGCTGGGATTAAAAGCGTGTGCTACCACCCATAGCCTAAACGTACTTTCTCATGAAATACTTGGTTTTAAGTAAACTTGAGACTGTTGTGTTATTTTACTATATGCGGTTATTTCAAATGTTATTAATTCCATATGAAATGAAGCTGACTTAAAATGATCAGTATAAATGCTATTAAAACCTGTTTCAGCCCTGCGGTGGTGGCGCAAGCCTTTAACCCCAGCACTTGGAGACAGAGGCCAATGAATTCTGTGTAGGTCAGCCTGGTCTACAAATCGAGTTCCAGGACACCCAGGGCTGTTACAAAGATAAAGCTTCTTTTTTTTTTTTTTTTTGGTTTTTCAAGACAGGGTTTTTCCGTAGATTTGGAGCCTGTCCTGGAACTAGCTCTTGTAGACCAGGTTGGTTTCGAACTCATAGAGATCCGCCAGCCTCTGCCTCCCAAGTGCTGGGATTAAAGGCCTGCGCCACCATCGCCCATCCAGAGAAATTGTCTTAAACACACATACAAATGCATGCATAAATACACAATAATAAAACCAGTCCATCAGTTCATAATCATTGTTTTTATGGTACCAATACTGCAAAAGGAAGCAATACTTAAGATCAAACTCATCAAGTATGTTTAAAAAGTAGGGTTTCTGGTTGTTTACAAAACATTGTAACAAATTTAAAAGGAGAAAAAAGCCAATAGTTACCTCACAGGGCTCTTGTCTTTTCTGAATGGACTTTTGCTTCGTGAACGCCTTCTGCTGCAAGGTTAAAAAGTTTCATAAATTATCCTAACAGTAATATCTCATTAGTTCCTTAAAAAACAATTTAAGCAATTCAGAAGTATGTTTAAAAACCTTAATTTGATGCTATGAGGCAACCCAATCTTTCCTCGGATGGCACTGTTAAATTTTGGTCCGGAGCTAAAAAGAAAACACAAAATTACACTAGTTACAGGTTTAGGGTCTTGCTATGATCAAGTTTATGGGCTCTGCAGCAAGTCTAACAATGATTAGGCAGCTTCTTTTCTACCTCAATTATAAAGAGGAAACAATTAGAAAAATCTGTAACTTCATCTCAGACCTGTAGCCCTTTTATTTATCTATCCTGGACCAGTTAGAGGTGCCAAGAACATAAGTTACAGCCTCAAAAATTTTTCATTCTAAAAAAATTCATCACATCTACTTTTAGTTTTTCAACCATATAATCATGAATAGAAGATTGAGTCTTTTAAAATATAGAAATAGAGTAAAAAATGCCTCTGAGCTCTCATTGCAGCATCAGTTTACTATGCAGTTGTTTATGAAAAAAAATACACATTATATAGGAAAGAATGACTTAGAACTCTTGCTCCTCCTGGCTCAACTTCTGGTAGTGATCAGATCAGTGTTGAATTACTGAGCCATTGTAGCCATATAAAGGATTTTTTTGTTGTTGTTTTTTGAGATAGGGTTTCGGTGTTAACAGTCCTAGCTTGCCTGGACCTCGGTCTGAAGACCTGGCTGGCCTAAAATCACTGAGGTCCGCCTGCCTCTTCCTCCCAAATGCCGGGATTAAAGGCATGTGCGCCACCACCACCCAGCTCATGTAATAATTCTTGAAGAGAATATCCGCACATTTAATGTACTATATGTTTTATAGTAGAAAATACTTATGATATAGTCTTATTTAATTTTTGTTTTCCTGCAGCTCATTCTATACACTAGGCTGACCTCAAACTTTTAATAGAAATTTAAAGCTAATTCACTCATTAGAAAATTGAGAATTTTATTTATTCAAAACAGTACGAAAACATACCTGTCCCCCTTAAGCTGATACTAATATTGTAAAACTTTGTAATAAGAGGATTTCATAGTAACTCATTCAAATTACAAATATTTTTGTACCTTTATAAAGGTAAAGGTTACTCAAGGTTTTATAAGGTAGGTACATGTTAATTAGTATGCAATAATAGTCCTCAAAGGACCATCACAGAGTTTGGGTAAAATAAAGAAATCAGAGGGCCTGTCATCAATACTTAGATAATTTTAATAAAAACTTTGTCAACATGTAACTAAGCAGTTTCATGTAAAATTGATCTGACCCTTCTAAACTTAAAATAATTTTTTAAAAATAGGGTACATACTTGGCTTAGAATTATCAATATGGACTGGGACTTGGCTGTGAGCTGCCTCCTCTACCTCACTAAGCCCTAATAGTAAGATACTTACTGCGGGCAGTGGTGGCCCACGCCTTTAATCCCAGCACTCAGGAGGCAGAGGCAGGCGGATCTCTGTGAGTTCGAGACCAGCCTGGTCTACAAGAGCTAGTTCCAGGACAGGCTCCAAAACCACAGAGAAACCTTGTCTCGAAAAACCAAAAAAAAAAAAAAAAAAATGTTTTCAGGGCTCATAAAATGACTCAGAGGATAAAGACACACGCCATCAGCCTGACCACCTGAGTTTGGTCCCTTGGAATAATGTGGTAGAAGGGAGAGACTGAGAATTGTGTCTTATAAATGTCTCTTAGAAGTTGTCTTCTGANAAAATATTTATTTATTATGTATACAATATTCTGTCCATGTGTATGTCTGCAGGCCAGAAGAGGGCATCAGACCTCATTACAGGTGGTTGTGAGCCACCATGTGGTTGCTGGGAATTGAACTCAGGACCTTTGGAAGAGCAGGCAATGCTCTTAACTGCTGAGCCATCTCTCCAGCCCCCTATATATATATTTTTTTTATTATTTCATGTTCATTGGTGTTCTGTCTGGTAGTATGTCCTTGTGAGTGTGTCTGATCTTGGAGTTACAGAGCTATTAGCTGCCATATGTTACTGGTGATTGAACGCCAGTTTCTTGGAAGAACAGTCAGTGCTCTTAACCAGTCAACCACCTCTCCAGCCCCATAAAAAGTATAATTTAACAAGCTATTTTCTCTCTTCTACTACAATTAATACAAAAAAGTATTGTGGATTTGGGGGTATCACTACGAACCCTTAGCTGGCCTAGAATTGGTTGTCCTTGAATTCACAAAATCTGCTTCTGCCCAATAGGACTACTAGGTTTTTACCTTAGTTATAAATAAAATAGTCCAGTTATAGATTCAACAGTTCAACTGGAACCCAACACAAGAAAAGTTTAAATAGAGCAGGGTGTCAGGCACAGACTTGCACAAGCACAGACCACACCCACCCATCCATCCTCTACAACAGTATTTTAATTTTTAAAGGTAGCTGGACCCATTTAGTTCATCCTAGTAAGCCAAATAGCAATCTTAAAGGATGTGGAGTAAATCATGAGAAAATAACAGTAATATTTTTGTTATATTATCCAGAATTAAAATAATACTGTGGCTCCATTACCATCGTGGAATGTCTATAAAATAACTAGGAAGAACCTAGAAACATGGGATGCATCCACAGAAACAGATACTATATTCGTAAATGAAAGAGTCAGAACCTCAACTACTCAAAGATCTTAAGTTAATACCAGTATCTCACAAAATTCAGTATTCTGAATATGTTGATGACAATTATCATGATTAGTTTATGTCCAAGTTTATTCGTTAACAAAAGCTTAGGGAGTGACTGATTTAGTCGACTGTCTTAATTTTTAAAAATTAATTGTATTGGGGGCTGGAGAGATGGCTCAGAGTCTAAAAGCACTGATTGCTCTTCCTGAGGTCCTGAGTTCAATTCCCAGCAACCACATGGTGGCTCACAACCATCTATAATGAGATCTGGTGCCCTCTTCTGGCATACAAACATACATGGAAGGAATGTTGTATACATAATAAATAAATAAATCTTTAAAAAAAAATTAAATTTATTGGTTAAGGGAATACTGCTTTCACAGAGGTCCTGAGTTCATTTCCCAGCCATTAGGAAGCTCACAAATACCTCTAACTCCAGCTCGAGGTTGGGTAGTTCAATGCTCGTTGGCCTACAGTGACACTTAAACTCACTTGCATTTGGCAACTCATACAAGCATAAATACTGTAAAAGTAGTTTATAAAGGTGTGCTTAGAGAAGAATTTAGGACTTAGGTAACCATTAAGGAAAGACTGTAATTGATTCAAATACTTGTTTATAAACACAATTTTCCCCCAAAATATATGTGAATTTCTTATGTGCATTGTTGCTTTGCCTGCCAGTTACCTTGTTATTTTTGGTCTTTGTTATTTTTTCTTCCACAACCCTGTGAAGCTGAGGGTTGATCCCAGGGCCTTGTGCTTAATGCTCTACCACTGAGTTAAATCCTCAACCCTGATGCTTTGTCTGCGTGATGTCTATGTGAAGGTGTCACAAGCCCTAGAACTGGAGTTGTAAGCAGCATGTGCCTGCGTGCTGAGAATTCAAACTGGGTCCTCTGGAAGAGCAATCAGTGCTCTTAAAATAGTGAGTCATCTCTTTTTGCCCCAGGTGAATTTTTAACAATCATGAAATTATGTTAAATTTCCTTAAATAAGGCATGCAAATTTCTGTAACAATCTACAAAGCTTAAATACAAATAATAAAGAGTAATAAACCTAAAAATTGAGAATACATATTGATGAAGGATTTCAGTTTCCCAGTCACAAACAATATTCTTCATAAACTGTACTTAGATACGTATTTTGTGTTCTAATAGCTTACATACTTTAGGTTTTTCACTACCAAGCACTCAAATGCTTTCTTTTAATTTGGACTGGCAAGCAAATTATTGCTAGTTGGTCAGAAAGAGTTGGTAAGTTTTGAAGTTTATAAATCAGTCCCCATATTGTATTTTCTCCTTACTAAGCTTCAATGTCAATATCCTTCATTTTAAATGTTATTGAAAAACAGAATCTTACAATTCATATTCCCCCAGTTAACTTGCTATCTAACCAGAGGTAACAAAAGCCCTAATTACAGTTACATACTAGGGACTTCTGTAGCGGCCTCGGAATCTTCTATCTCGACTTCGTGAGCGGCTTCGTCTCCTTTCTTTGCTTCTACTTCGCTTTCGTTCCCGGCTTTTGCTCTTTTTCCTTTCTCTATCTCTACTTCGCTTCCGTTCCTTACTTTTGCTTCTCTTTCGCTCATGACTACGACTTCGGCTCTTGCTTTTTTTTCTCCTGAGGGGGGAAAAGTATCATTATCATGCTGATTTAAATACTAACTAATATATACTTCCTTTTATGGTCAAAATGTTTATCCTTTTGTAAATGTATTTTTACCACACTGTACAATGGCACAAAAATCATACTTTAGGAAAAACAATTCCTAGGTAGGGACATAAGACCCCAACCTTTGCTTCATGTTAAATGAAGACAGCCAAAGAATTGAGAAACAGGTTTAAGAGGAAGAATTTGCAATCATCTCCTGAGGCAGCTACAGCTTGAAACAAGAGACAGGACTTGCTGGTAAGTAGACAACCAAGGCTGAACATCAGAAAACGATTCATCTGCCATTCCCATAACAGACCACCAAGCATAATTGTAATCTATAAGTTATAGTATTAAGTTACATTATGATCACATTAAAGAAATAGTAATTGTCATGTAAAATTTTCCATACAACAATTTAGTTCAAGTCAACTGACACAATGTACATGTAAGCGTATTTTGAACTTCCAAAACATATACATAGCATTTTACTTTTCATGGGCAAAACTACAATGATAAAGGATACTAAGAATGCAGTAAAATTCACTTTTAGAACCCCAGAGTATTGTGACCATAGAAGTTTTCTACTTAAAGCTATAATGAAAATGGAAAATGCCCTTTTAAGCTACTTTATACAAGCCTGTGGGACAAAATTAAAATAACTTGACCTTCCTTGGAAACTAAAAAAGTCTATTAGTTATCTTTCCACTCATTTCTGTTCCTCATAGTACTTTACCCACTGGTTTAATAATTAAACCTTGAAATCTGTATCTCTGTCATCACCCAAATTAGAGGTGCCTTCAGATATTTCAATGTAAATGAAAGACATTTTGAAATAAATTTATTCCACCAAAATATCCATTTTGACAACTCTACATCATTAGGAAAATTAATTAGCTATTGAATCTGTATCAAAGCAAAGTTAGCAGAAGAACAACTGAGGTGTGCCTCAGAGAACCTGTAAGCAGGTCATCTTAGAGTGCATTGAAAATAGAAAATGAAGACACCCACCTTCTGGAATCTTGAAACCCACACTCCAATCACAAGGAGATGTAGAGCTTTCCAAGGAGGCAGAAACTTTGTCTAAAATTTCAAGATAATCCACCTGACTGTCAGAAATATGCTAGGTAGCACATGACAGAAAATTAGGCTACACTCATTATTTATATAGAAGTCAAACCAACTCCTATGCTCAGAAGGGCAACAATTAACATTCCAACTTTGATGTTTCAATTCTGACACTATTTCTTAAGAGTAGAGAATTCTGGAATGGCTAAAACCTAAGTCCTACCTATAAATTAGGGGACAAGGTAAAAATTCAATTCCCCTGGAAAAAAAAAAGGACAGTAAGTTTTTGCTCTGCTCAAAGACAGCCCACAGCAGAGTCAATCTGCCTATTTACCTCTCATATGCCCCCAATCTTATTCTGCCAAAGGAGCTTAAAATATAAATACATAAATCAGAGCTAATTTTAACTCAATGTCTTGCTAATCCCCAACCACATCTGAAGGCAACCCCAGATAGGCAAATAGACAACATACTAAGATAGCAGAAAATACCATCTTCCATATAAAAGCCCAGACAAAAGACTAGTGTTATAAGAAACCAAGATACTTCTATAGAACACTTATCAACTAAAGAAATGGTTATAAAAATCCATCCTAATAGTCAAATCCTGTTACAACTTAAATTAGACTTTCCCAAGTCTTTAGTGGCAGTGGAAATTGTACTGAACATCATTGAAGTAAATGGTCCACTGGGCCTTTGGACTTTTTGGTTATATGGCCTCTGCTGTAAAGGTGTTTTGCTATAACTGGATTTGACCTCTTCCATGTAAGAAGATCTAAATTTTAAATGCAAAGTATTCTGGAAAATAAGAAAAAAAATAGAAAAGTCATTTATTCCAAAATTTGATAATCCATACCACAGTAGCCAATATATTTTAACTGTGCCATTTTACTGTTATCCTTTTCTAAATGATTCTTTAAAGATGTTAACAAAATGAAGTTTGATTTGAGACTGCAAAACTGGTTACAGCAAAAAAAAACTTCTATGAGGAGCAACCTCAAGTACCTAAAGAGTTTACTGGAGGCCTTGACAAACTCTGTTAAAATTCTTCTGAAAATAGGCAAACCAGTTATTTCCAACTTTTATCCCTTTACTACTTACTGGGATATGATACAATGAGTGTTACAAGTCAGCTACAATTGTTTAAACAGAAGTTTATATACTTTGCTAACTTTGTCAGAATGTACAGTTTTTTATTCTACCTTATCAGCAAGTTATCTCCAATTCAATAAGGTTTTAGCATGAAACATACAAAAATGACATGTACCTTAGGTTAACACAAATTATCTTAAAGTGAGTAAATACTTGTTTTGCATTTCACCGAGTGTTTCAAGTTTTCTTCTACATTATGTTTAATTAGTTTAAATGGCACATTTCTTCAAATCACCATGTAATAAAAGCTTTGTGACTAAATTAGGCAATTGCCTAATTTACGTCAACTGTAACTAAAGAAGCCTTGAAAAATCTGAAGGTATTACTAATTGAAATGTTTAGGAAAATCTTTAAAACAGTTATGTTAAATTGTCCAACTGACTGTACATACAACAGATAAAAAACAAGAAACAAAACCCACTACTTATATAGAGTGCTCAGTGCTTAAATTCCTCATAAAAGCTTGGTGATCTTAATGAGTTTAGTTACAGGATTAAAAGAATACAATCTGAAGACATTAGTGGGAAGAAGTGACATTAAAAAAGTGGAAAGATTTGCATTTAAGCTTATCCTCATCCTTTGCACATTTACGATAAAAATCTTAGTTACTAAGTCACACCTTAAGTGAATGATTTTTATAAATTGGCAGAGTCCTGATCTAGTATTTTCTTAACATAAAATTGCAAAACCCAAGACTTTATAGAATTGTTTCTTTCGCAAAGGTTAAAAATGCATGGAATGAGCCCTGTCAACTCGCTCTCTGTATTCACTTTTGACTAGGAGGGAAACATTACTGTAATGAGCCCACCTCATCTTGTTCAAGAAAAAAAATTTCCACAAATTAGACCTGTTTACCCTTAGCATTTATTTTTGCATTTTCTACAGGGTCTCACTATGAAATCCAGGCTGGCATTGAATTTATGATCAGCCTGCCTCACCTTAAGGAGGGACTTGTAAGCCAGCATCATCACACCCAACCAACATTAAAATTAATCCCTTACTACCATACTAAGATTATAACTTTGGCTTAGCAAAACCTAAGTGATCCACACTGAACTGTTTTCTCATCTATTTTATGAAATTGTATTAATCTACCCTAACGAAGTTGTAAGGATGACTGAGGTAGATATTATGAAGCACTCTGAGCTCACAGGAGGAAAACAACCACAGTCAAGTAAGTGGCTATTTTACCATCATTTTCATTATATATTATGGGTCATAACAAAATATTTTAGTATGGCATCATAAACATGGGCTAGAACTTAATGCATGTAGCATGACCTTATGATATTAAGAATCACTAATCTTGGAGCTAAATGGTAATTTCACAACAGCTGACAGGCTCCATCTTTGTAAATTGGATCCTGTTTAAACTGTTAATATACCTTTTTATGTACTATATTCTGTGTTGTCTGTAGTATGAAGTTCTTATTTCAGGTTACTTACCTACCCCAAATAAACTACATATTCTTAACGATCTCCTTAGATACACTAGAAATATAAAGGCCCAAAACAATGAATAAAAATATATTTTAAACCAAGAGTTACTAAGCATGCCCCTTTATTACTACCAAAAGGGCCTTTAAGCAGCAAGGAGCAGAAATAGTTCATAGCCAATTCCTTTAGTGAATGAAGGTAAACAGTATTTTCCATGGTCTTGATATTATCTTTGTTCTAATGTCTTTTATTCAATGATTATCACATCTCCAAAAAATTAAGCCAAAGTTACCAAATTTAAAACATTATAGAACTCAAGAGAATCATGGGATCCTTGGAGGGCAAAGTGTCCAGAAGGTCTCTGAAACCATATCCTGAAGTCTACATCGCAAAGTCCATAGTTTTATGTCCTGAAGGACTTTCTCATCCCAAAAGGTATGACCAGTATTCTAAGAAGCGAAGAAAACCATAGTTTGATGCTTTAGGCAAAAGAACACAAGATATCCACCACATGAAGTTTAGAAACCCACCCTCCCAGGTTCCTTGTTCAAACTTACTTTTTGCTACGTTCTTCGTGGCCATTAGCACTGCTCAACTTGTTCTCATCCTAAGCAAGGTTGATAGAAGAACATCATGAGGACGAAGTGGTAACATTTCAAGTTGTCAAAGGGTAAAGGGAATAGGAATAAGAAAATACAAGACAATTTTAAAACTAATTACTTATTTAGTTTAACATGGAAGGCTATAAAAAAAATTTAGATGGTATACGTTTAACCACTTTGTTGCTAATAATTAAATCATCAAGAAACAAAAATTAAAATCTTTCCACATTAACATATTTACTTTCTTACATTGTTTAGATATTAAGTAAGTTATCCAGAGTTACAATGTTGAAGTGGTTAAATATGATTTCTATGAAACATGAAGTCATTGAGTTTTATTCCATGTGCTATTGTCCCTCTTGTCGGTACCATGGCTCTATTTCTGCCTAAGCCCCAAGTGGCCATGCTAGCAGCCAGCCACTATCGATTTCCTGTGACCGATGCCATTCCTGAGATCTTCGCCCATTTCCGTTGGAGGGTTGGGACTGTAAGAGCTTGATGCCACCTCTGTCACACATCTCGCCCTGAAGCAAACAGGGATTCACACTGCTTTAGTAATGTTGACTCCCAAGAACCCAAGAAAAGTTAATTAATAATTCACCAGTCCAGCCTAAACATTTCCTACTTCCATACCTGTTTACATGGAATTACATCCATGTTAAACTAAGACAAGAAACACGAAAATCAGAAAATACATCTTCAAGAGTCTAGCATTACAAAATTACACTATTTAAAACTATCAGAATTCATCCAAAAGGAACCACATGGTCGTGCTACACTCGAAAACAAATGTATTATTTTTAAACGGTTTATGCGCAATGTTTATTTCAAAGTATGAACACATCAGCTATAGTAGTATATCTGCTGAGTTACAAAGCTTAAGGTTTGTGATACCAGTGATAATGCATGCATACTGCTATTTTCACCACCAACTGGTGAAAGAATGAAGGGTGTTTACTTTTACTGTGATACTGACTGTCATTGCACTATTACCAAAATAATTCCTTGGTAGTTTTTAGCGTGAAATACTATGGTAGGGCCTAATTAAAAACAATATACTATGGAGAGCAGTAAAACAGTCATCAAGTGACTCTAACATGTGACACTGCCTCTTGTCTTTTGTTGTTTTTTTTCTTGTTTGTTTTTGTGCTAATTTCTATTCAGGGATCCAAGAATTTTAGTAATTATTAACTGAAAAGCAGATCAACACCTGCCTGGTTTTAAGTTTTACTATCACCAGCCTTATATCTATTATTATAAAATAAATTTTTAATCTCACCCATTTCTTCTTTAAAGACTTGTAAGATGATTTACTTGTCATAGACTGGTTATAATTTATTCTTGGACCCCTGCTATTTTCCCAAACCACTACATTCACCTTTTTTGCTATACCAAACTGGAGCTGGTTAATTCTTAGTTGAGTCATTTTACCTAGGGGACCACGGTACAGCGATAAGTCACTCAATTACTACCTTATGATTGACAGTTCACACTGGAATCAAAGGTGAATTCATGGGAGTAGAGGTGAGATATCGTTAGGCAAGTCTACAAAGAGAGATAGATGGGCATTTATTCATCACGCTGAAGTGAAACTACTGCACAATATTATTACATCAATAGCATATATTTACTTTTCTAAGTTACATGTAATGCATCTCTGATAAGATAATCAAGAGGGCTCCGGGAAGGTTAGTTTACATTTCAGCAGTAGTTTCGTGAATAATGCTAAATTAAGAAATATATTAAAGCTCACTGGCATGTTTTTCTCACCTTCTTGTAAGGGGCCTCAAGCATTGCTTCAATATCAATATCGTCTGCCATTTTCTCTACACGCCTAGGGAAGAACAAGATAATCCTGTAAGGTAAACAACTTCCAGTTCTTCTTAAAAGATTTCCTCGGCCTACAAAATTCAAATTTTAAGCAAAGTCCTTAAAAAGCCCTACAATGACGAAAATTGTGCGATGCGCATTAATACAGTTTTGATTCGGCTAAGTAAGCGTGAAGCGCTTCTTTTATCAAACACACGGTCAGAACCCAATGTCTAATCTCAAAAAGCCGCCTCTGAACTCCCGAAACCGAACCCGAGAGTATGAGGCTGAGAGCTTCCTTCCGCACAAAACCCGCGCTGCCATTTTAGCGGCAGAGGGAAACTCCCTCTGTTGGGAGGGGTTGTGTACCAAGGTAGCATTCGACAGGCGCCATGTTGGGAGGTCGCGACCAGCCCCGGCCGCCAAAGGACAGATCTCTATCTGCCCGCGGTCCCCAAGGAGGGCCTTGCCACCACCAAAATAGCCGCGGTGCGCTTGCCAGAAATGAAAGGCACAGCCACGGACCTGAGACCGACCATGTCGAGAAGCCCCCCACCCCCTCGCGCGGTTCAAAGCCACCGCAAGCTGCCCTCGGTACCTCGGCCCACCCGACTCCGGGAAGCGGACCACGCCAGTCCGCGACGCCGCGTACCTGTGCGGGCTTTCGCGCGCCTGTGCTCGGCTCGGGAAGTCTGCCGCTGCCGCCGCCGCCGCCGCCGGTGCTACTGTTAAGCCCCTAGGCCCAGGCCGCGGTACCGCCCAACCCGAATATCGGGCCCCGAGGGCGTCTAGGCCCAAGCGAATCTAAAAGAAACAATGGGATTAAAGGAGCCCGCGCGGGAGAGCAGGGCAGCGGCTTTGGCAGTTCAGGATCCACCCCTGCGACAGCGTCGGCTCGCTCCCTGAAATGGCGGCCGCTGCTCCTCCGTACTCATTCACCAACACACATACACACACAAACACCCGGGGTCTCCCGGAGCCTCAGCACGGGCTCTCGCGAGAAACTGCCCAGCGTTCCAGACTGGAAAAAACGAAATATCGCGAGATCTCAGGTCGGCTTCGGCGGCCGTGGCCCAATCTCGTGCAATGATTGCGCCACAGAGGAGCCCATCCCCCCTTTCCCTCCTCCCCCACCAGAGGTGCATCGAAATCTCGCGATGCTACGCCGTCTCTAAGGCAAAGACAGTTGGTGCACTGTCTGTCAATCTTTAGAAGAATGCTTTGCTGAGTGGAGCTTTGCGGTCTACCCCGGCTGGTGTCGTCTCCACGCGGGGTGTGAACGTCCCCTCCCCCGACCCCTCACAATCGACCTCCCCCGACACCCGCCTCCCACCCAGATGGCTGTCAAGGTCGCCATGAGGCAACCTATTATATAGTACATAAGGCTATAGAGTAAGACGTTCGTTTCCAAATTCACTGATGGTGAAAACGCATGCAGACGAGAATAATCAGGGGAAGTGGGAGAATAATAAAAAGTACTATTGCCTTGTCATTCGGTGTCACTGGTTAGGTGCGTCCTCGTTGGTGAAGCTTCGGAACACCCTTAGAAGCTGAAGGTGGGCTAGGTTATAGAAGAAACTATTTCCCTCACCAATGTGTAGCTCTCAACTCCCTGCATGTAGTCGAGCCATGTGTCACTATTGCTTGTTACTTTAAAAGTATCCCTTTTTTTCCCTTGGATTTTGGGAAATAAATCCACGTGTTAATTTATTGCTTTTGTTGTTTATTAGGCTTTTATTTTGTTTGGGTTTTTTTCCGATTTTGGGGGTGGGGTGGGTGATACTGTCGCAGAGGCAGAGGACAAACTGCGAGGTCATTGTAAGATTTTTTTCCCCTTTCATAGAAAAGAAAATGTTTAAAATAAAATTAAATATCAAACCAGTCCTGAAACCTACCCGACAGTTTGAGGATATAAAAGATTCAAAATGTGACACCTTGATTGGTGTAGCTGACCTTGGGCAAGTAAATTAAGCTCTCAGGGTATATATCCCATTTCCTCCTCATAAGGAAGGAGGGAGAATGTAATTAGTAGCAAGGGGAAGCATGACAGTGACCAAGACAGCAAATGTTCATATATGAATTCCAGGTTTAGCAAGGGATGTCTATCCAGGTGATCTCGCCATGAAGTGAATGAAGGCTCATTAGTAGGATGAAAAATAAATGATATGATAATTGAATTGCTGGAAAAAATATTTTAATCATTGATAACTTCTAGGAGGGCGCTGGAGAGATGGCTGAGAGGTTAAGAGCACTGGCACTTCCAGAGGTCCTAGTTCAATCTCAGCAATCAAGGGTGGCTCACAACCATCTATAATGAGATCTGGTGCCATCTTCTAGCTTGCAGGCAGTACACTGTATACATAATGGAAAAAAAAACTTCTAGGGGCTGGCAATGTTGCTCAGTTGTCATATTGCTTGCCTAGCATGCCTGATGGAGCATGTCTTTAATTCCAGCACTTGAGAGGCAGAGGCAGGCAGATCTCTGTGAGTTCGAAGCCAGCCTGGTCTACAAGAGCTAGTCCCAGGACAGACAGAATTGTTAAACAGAGAAACCGTGTCTTGAAAAAAGAAAAAAAAAAAAAAAGAAAACAGAGGCAAGGGGATCTTTGTGAGCAAGAGGTCAGCCTAATCTATATTGGGAGATCCAGGCCTGTCAGAGCTGCATAGCAAGGCACTATCTCAAACAAGACCTAGAGGACATGTAACCATAAAGAGGCCCAGCACTTGGGAGGCAGAAGCAGGAGAATATCTGTGAGTTCGGGGCCAGCCTGGTCTACAGAGTAAGCTCCACAACAGCCAGGACTACACAGAGAAACCTTATCTCATAGAGAGAGAGAAAAGGAGAGAGAGGCTTTCTCTCTCAGATATGGTAGAATACTGAGATCCCCATAGCTCCTACTGAAAGACTACACTTCCCAGCTTCTTACCCTATAAAGGACCCTAATCCCATCTTCCTCTGCAGGCATTTTTTTTGTTTTGTTTAGTTTTGTTTTTTAGTTTTTCGAGACAGGGTTTCTCCGTAGCTTTGGAGCCTGTCCTGGCACTAGCTCTTGTAGACCAGGCTGTCATAGAACTCACAGAGATCCGCCTGCCTCTGCCTCCCTAGTGCTGGGATTAAAGGCGTGTGCCACCACTGCC